CCCGCCAGCGCGCACCCCCCAGCGCACCCCCAGCGCACCGGCCCTGAGCGCAGCGCACAGGGTGGGTGCGCCGCAAGTATGGTTTGTTTTTTTTTTTTTTTTTTTTTTCCTACTAAGTTTTACTAACGTTTTAGTAGTTTTACGTTAGATGCTTTTTGGACAAATGTGATGGATGGGTTGCGTCAATTCTTTTGTTCTTTTGCTTTCTTAATACAATGCTTTGTGCTTTTAAAAGTCTTATATATGTTTGTGACGATATAAAGTCTTTTTTTTTTTTTTTTTTGGCAATGGAAAATTTTAAATATGTGAGTATGAGGACCATATCATGACTACTATACAGATTACAGGACGAGGGTCCAGAGGGTTTGTGTCCCAGGGTCCGGATGGCCTGTGTCCTAGGGTCTAGAATCCGACGCCCGTAACATAAAGTCACTGCATGAAAATGGGAACAGACGATGGACCACTCCACGCTAAACCGTTACGGATGCTTTAAAAAAAGACGCGATCTGAAAAATCAAAACCATGCGAGTCCAATGGGGAAGGGGCACCCTAGGAAGAGGAACAATAGCAACGTAGGGCCTCACCACACCGCTCTCTGAAGGTGAAAAAGACAAAAATGTTGCGGGTGCATCTGGCCATGTTCTAGCGGGAAGTTCATTCTCATTTTGCACATTTGGAGAGTGGTGTGGCGATGCCTGTAGTCAGGAAGCGAATAGCATACTAAGGAGAACCAGGAGAAACTGACACATATGGACAGGGATTTTGAAGCAGATCTGCTTCAAAATAGCAATGGGGAAAGGTTCTTTTTGTTATCTGTATAGTAGTCATGATATGGTCCTCGTACTGACAGGCATTTTGAAGCAAATCGCCAGCAATGAGAACACGGAAAATAGGTCGAGGCAAAAAGGCAAGGGTCACCAAGAGGACAGACCCTCAGCAAGAGCACAGGAATCGATAGGAGAACCAGGCGGCCTCGGAGATAGCGAGGTTAGTTCACATAATTCCAGCGCTAGCTCCTGATGGCAACCGATAGCAGCACAACTAGGGTAGTGAAATCACTCACGAGGGTTTAGGGTTTTAGCTAGACCCTCAACAAGTGGCCAGGTTAACTGCTCCTGCACTTACTAGGGTTTAGGGTTTAGGGTTAAAACTGAGCCCTAGCCTATCTAATGTATTCCTCTCAAGCAGCCAGGTTAACTGCTTCGGCATTTACGGCAGTTACCAGGGTTTAGGGTTTTAGCCAGACCCTCAACAAGTGGCCAGGTTAACTGCTCCTGCACTTACGGCAGTTACTAAGGTTACTGGGGTGTAGGGTTGAAAGTTGAAACTGAGCCCTAGGCTATCTAGTATATTCCTCTCAAGCAGTCAGGTTAACTGCTCGGGGACTTATGGCAGTTACTAGGGCTTAGGGTTTTAACCAGACCCACAACTAGTACCCAGGTTTACTGCTCCAGCTCTTACTATGCCAAACAACTGAGAGGAATAGATTAGATAGCCTAGGGCTCAGTTTCAACCCATGGGCCAGCAGCAACTTAACCTGAGAGTGCTTAGGGTTTTTTAGAAGTGCTATGTCACTAGGCCAGGTCAGCAGTTCTGGCACTTAAGGAGAGTCCGACAGTCAAAGCCCCTCCTAAGCACGTTCACAGAGCCTACAGTACTGTAGATCTTGTTCAGCACGCAAAACAGAAGTAAAGTAGATCAGGCTATAACTTAGGCACACAGAAACAGAAGTAAAGTAGATCAGGCTATAACTTAGGCACATAGAAACAGAATTAAAGTAGATCAGGCTATAACTTAGGCAGGCGTGAGGGGTGGTACATTCGTCCGGCCGGAAGTAATCAATGCCGTCCCTCGGGCTTTCCTATCGTAGAGAGGGAAAGAGCATGTGCATGAGTCCTATATGTAATTTAACTGGGTTGACTTGCCGGTGGAGTAGGAACGGGACAGATGCTCCCCAGAATGGAAAAGGAGCCAGATTCATAAGGATCTGTTTTAGACGGTTGGGGAAATAGGGAGCCTCGGGTGGGGCTCCGATTTTTTAGGAGGCCGAAACGAAACGACAGCCACCAGATGAGATTTAGCAATGGCGGCCGTCGTCGGGCCCAGCCCCCGCCTTTTTAGGAGTTTCAGTTTTCCCCTATTTTCCCAACAGTCAAAGGTATTCGTGGTTTAAACAAGTGAGCCCAAGTACATAGCTCAGGGTAGGTAGTGTGAGATAAAAAAAAGAGTGAGAGAGAAGAATATGGAGTCGTAACATGCAGCTGTTCCCCAATATGAGGAGAGTACAGCTTGCCGTTTTTTTTTTAATTAAAAATAAAAAATAAAAAAACTTGAGTCCTCCCACCTACAAAGGCCGAGACCCTGCCACCGTTATGCAGCATTGCAAAACAAACGGCCTTTGCCTGAGGGTCATGTTGAAATTTGCACCAAAATTCGAGAAACAAAAATCGATACAAAAGTACAGACATGTTTTAGGGCCACTCTCTGATCCGGATCCAATCCAGAGGTCCACGCTCGGTGGTGAACGTCTGATGTCCCGTGTCTGGATGAGTTCGGTGGCTCAGATGAGTCCGCTGTCTGATCTGGATTGAGCAACGTTGTTATAGTAGCCGTGGGCAATAATATCGACTCTTGTTCAAGAGTTCGCTGACACGACTTTCATGGAGTGCCAGGAGCGGCAAGAGTTGTCTGAAGGAAATGTTTTCTCCACACGTCCAGGATGTGATGAATCAACATGGCAATAATATCCCTCTGTGTGTGTGTGTAATTTGATACGAAACCCCCACGTGAACAGACGTGGCGAGCTGCGCAGAAAAAGCACATCAAGCAACATACCAGGAAATAAATTGCCCACTTCGTATGGCATGAGCAAAACAAGAAAACAAAGAGAAGCTGAATGCCCTACTGTTGAAGCCAAACAGACTTGCACATTGGGAGGGGGCAGGGAGCAGCATGCACAGTGAGGAGACGTACGAGGCACATAAACGACAAGCAACAACAAAACACAGGCTGGAGGGCACGGGGGAGGCGGGTGGGCACAAAAACACGATAGGACGAGGCAAAGACAGTGAACTGAGAAACAAGTAGTACCCACGGAAGACATAGACATAGGCTTGAGGGGGCGAGGCGAGCAGGGAGAAGCAACAACAGTAGATCAAAAGACAAGAACTGAAGAAAATAAAAACTGATGATAACAAGATTGTTTCGTCGGAGCTGCACCGACACATCAGGAGGCTGAACTCTCAACACTTCAGAATCTCCGTATTTGATGGTTTGGGTCATGGACCCTTTAACCCTTGTTGAAGGCAGACTGTCCCAAAGCGGAACATAGCAGCGGGCAGCAACCCTGTGGAGCACCAGGCAACACAGTAGAGGCAACACAGCTGCACAACGCCAAAAACCACTGCAAGGAACGACATGGCACACAGGACATGCAGCGCGGCAACCGTGCAGTGAAGCACAACACAACACAAACAAGGCAACCACACGCAAGGGACAACAAGGCAAGCGGACCAGCAGCTCGGCAACCGTGGAGCGAAGCACAAGGCATCAGTAACAAGGCAACCATCCAACAAGGCCCGCAAGCAGCAAACACGGAAGGCATGACCAGCAGAAGGGCAGCAAGGCAGCAGAGCAGCGAAGCTAAGGCAACACCAACCACACGGCCACACCACACAGCGAGCACATCAATCTGCAAAGAACCACATGCGAAGCAAGCGGGACAGGCAGCAGGGCAGCGGCGGAGTGCAGACGAGGCCGTCCACACATCCAACACGGAGCAAAGCAGCACATGACCTACTCACATCACGATTGAACCCCGCAGACTGTTGGTTCCCACCACTCACTGAGCCAGGGAGACACTCCGACGAGCATCCGTCATCACCCACAGGCAACACAGACATCCCAAACCGAGCGCCCCCCCTAGGAGTGCAGTTGGCACTCCAAACGAGGAGCCACCGACTGTTTGGCACTGCTTAAGGGTGCTCAATTGGGCACACAGAAAAATACGTGGAAAAATCAGAGGGAGGACATACAGCAGGAAAAAGACTGACAGACATAAAAATGATTGTGTGTGTGTGTGTGTGTGTGTGTTTATTGTCATATTCGTTATAGACTCAAAAAAAGCATGACTGTGCCAGACTGTTTCGTCGGACTTCGTGTGTAGATGTGCATGAAGCACATGTTCGATTGACCCCAGCATGGTACCAAACCATGCACCATACCATCACAACACCTCAGGAGGACAATACACATCTGAGTGAGTCGAGTCAGAGAACCGCCCCCAAAGTGACACAACCAACTGGGTGAAACAAGCAAGACAGGCAGAACACTCGCCAGGCACCAAGCAGCAAGCCAAAAGGAAGCCTTTGGCCAAAAAGACAAGCAGCACGCAGCAAGGCCGAAGGCAGGACGAGAGCGAAGTTCAAAGGCTGGAGGGGCACAGGGAAGGCGGGTGGGCAGAAAAACAGGACGAAGCAGCAAAGGCTAGAGGGCATGGGGGAGGCGGGCGGGCAGACAAGCAGCACATAGCGAGGCAAACAGCACAAGGCAACAGAGCGCATAGGCTGGAGGGCATGGGGGAGGAGGGTGGGCAGGCAAACAGCACAAGGCAGTGAAGCGCATGGGGGGTGCAAGTGGGCAGGGAAACAACACCAGGCAGCAAGGAGAACGACAGCGAGCTGACAACAACAAAGCAAGAGCAGCAATCAAAAGAAGTACAAGAATGACAAAAAACACAAAGACTAAAGAAATAAAAACTGATGAAGATTGTCTCGTCGGAGTTGCACCGACTCATCAGGAGGCTGAACCCTAGACAATTTGTGGAATCTCCGTATTGATGGTTTGGGTCATGCACCCTTTGACCCATGTTGAAGTCAGACTGCCCCCAAGCGGAACATAGCATCAGGCAGCAACTCAGCGAAGCACCAGGCAATGTTGCCAAGGCAACACAACTGCACAACGCCAAAAAACACTGCAAGGAACGACAGGGCAAGCAGAGGAGCAGCACAGCAATCGTGCAGTGAAGCACAAGGCAACACCAACAAGGCAGCCAAACTACACGGCACACAAGCAAAGGACGTAGGAGGCACGGCATGCGGATGGGCGGCAAGGCAGCAGAGCGGTGAGGCTCAAAGCAACACCAACACCGCAGCCACACCACAGAGTGAACACAGCAGCTTGCAACTAACGACCTGCGAAGCAAGCAGGCAGGGCATTAAGGCAGTGGCAGAGCGCAGACAAGGCAGTCTACACATCCAACACAGAGCGAAGCGGCACAACTCGCATCGCGGGTGAACCCCGCAGACTATTGGTTCCCACCACCGACTGAGCCAGGGAGTCACTGTGACGAACATCCATCATCACCCATAGGGCAGACAGTCATCACAAACCTAGTGGGCCCCCTAAGAGTGCTACAGGCGCTCCAAATGAGGAATGACCGACTATTTGGCACTACTTAAGGGTGCTCAGCTGGGCACACGAAAAGCACTTAGAAAAAATACGAAGACAACATACAAACAAAAGCAGAAAGACAAAAATATGTAAAACTGATTGTGTGTGAGTGTGTGTGTGTGTGCAAATTTTGGCAGGGAGTGTGCTAATATGAATTTTCTAACTGTGGTTAAAACTGATAACTCGTTCTGGTGGCAGGTTGGTTTTGAGATAAAAGGAGGACGGTCTGTACCAGTGTACGACGGAGCGATTATTTGTAAAGAATTTGAGGAAGTAGTGTTGGAGGTGAGTTTTTAAAACTTCTTTTGTCACTCTTTATTTTTCCTTTCTGAGGTGACTTTTTTGTGAAGATCCTGACACCATATGTTAGCCTCTCTTTTCTCCGCATGGTGGCGGTTATGCATGCATGCATGCATGCAAAGACATTTTCTCTGTTTTTTTTTTTGTGAAAAGGATGACGGTGTTGAGGTATCATCGCCGAACTGACCGGCCCCAGGTAATTCAGAAATGTCACATTTCAATAATCCAGCTCCATCTGGATTTGAGCTCAGGCCTGTATTTCAACAGTTCATGGGTGCACCAACTGAACTAGGCCCGTCGGTACAAGGGCATGTTCTCACTTCCAAGTTCCAGCCCATCCTCCTGCATGTGCCATGGAAGATCTTCTGATTTGTGATCGAGTGAATGCTTTCTCCCTCGATGATTAATAAGAAGTACGTCGTGATTACTAATTAGCATACTTGAGGTGCATATGTGCGGTGGGCCGTGTGGTGCACTGCACTGATCGCTGATGCACGAAAAAAAAAATAAAACAAAATGGATGAAGATGAAGAAGAAAAGAAAAGCGGCAGTGATGTGCGTATACTCGCGCGCGTGCATGCAAGAGAGAGAGAGAGAGAGAGAGAGAGAGAGAGAGAGAGAGAGAGAGAGAGAGAGAGTTCAGAAAACCCCTGCAGGTTCTGCGAAAGGCCCCTACCAAGAATTAGCAAGGGCCAAAAAAAGGGCGGTCGTCGTTGGACTTATAGTAAGGCTGTAGCAGGCCAACTATATATGGTGTAGCTTCGAGTTCAGGTCCGTGTTTCAGCAGTTATGGGTTACTAACTTACTAACTCGGCATGTGATTTTCAGGACTTCACTCCATTACTCACCAAATGTGCAAAAGAAGAATGAATCTTCTGCTAGAAATTGGAACCATACGCCGCCATATGCTTTGTCTTTTGTGCAAGCGGTGACTAGTGGAGCGAGGCCCTTAGGGCCGCTGCACGTAAGAAAAGGAAGAACCAAATAAAGAGAGAGCTACTGTAGTAGTAGTAGTAGTAGTAGTAGTAGTAGTAGTAGTAGTAGTAGTAGTAGTAAGTAATCCATAAGTTCTGGAACACAGACGTGAATTCGAATCTAGAATATATATGACGATATATATATATGTGACGATATATATATATTATACATATTTTATATACATCCGGACACTATATGTCCATTTTGTGGCCACGGACGCTATGCTGAATGCATGCTCTTTTGTGGGGGGCGTTCTTCCTTTATTCTGGCCCTGTCTCTTATACACATCTAGATGTGTATAAGAGACAGTGACCGTACATTGTATTCGGGGGAAGAAGGTAGGGGGTAGGGTTGTGGAAAGGGGGAGAAGGGGATTCAGCATGTAGCTATGAGGCGGTTCTCCGCACCTGGACCACTTCTGAGCAAACATGGAACGAGTTTGGTGGCCAACGAAGTCGTGGCAATGTCTAGTGGGTTGCAACTTTGGATTGCTGACTTAATTTGACTAATCCCTCAGCGCCGGCGGTAGATCTGTTTTCACAGATTATCCTTTTTCACATCGAAGATCGGAGAGGACTATGGACTTTATGGAGTCTATGGTCGTAGGTATTCCACTACAGTTCCAGTGGATGGAACATGGGATTCTAGTAGTTTTTTATATCTACTATGATTCTTGTGAAATTTTAAAGTTTTGTCAGTGAGCTGTCCTACACACATTTGTGCATGCCTTAACTTGCTTCCTGTATGTTTGCTGTTTGTTTGCCTGTTTTTTCGAAACAGGCTTATCGTAATCATCCTTTGTATGCGCTGGAGAGATGGATCACCAAGTACCAGATCATTTATCCGCGCCATCCGGTTGGTCTTAATCTCTCCCTTCCTCCCCCCGCTCCCTCCTCTCTCTCTTGCTTATCCTAGCAACAATTCTGGTGGAGAAGAAAAGAGGAAGAAAACACAAAGAAAGGACGAGGAAGAAATGGAAAGAAGTGGAAGAGAGAGAGAGAGAGAGAGAGAGAGANCCTTCACTCTGCCTCTCTCACAGCGTGCAAGTGGGCTGTTATGGCATACAGGGATGGGGGCAGCTCGCGCTCAACTTCATCAACGTGGCGAGCCTTGCACGTGAGAGGCACAGTGGAGGTGGAGTTCAAAGAAGAATGAGAAATTTAATGGTTTCAATCTGCCCTTGTTTTTTCTTTTTGTTTTTGTTTTTCTTTTTATTTTTGCATGTTATCACTGTGCCCGTTTTTTGCTTTTATTCTTTGTTTCGCAAAGTGCGCTCTTTTAGTTTGTAGTGATGTGACAATATATAATAAAACTCCGACGAAACAGTTTGCCACAGCCCCTCGTTTGTTGTCCTCTTCTCCCTCTCTGCCTACGGTTTTCCGGGCAGCTCTGTTTGACTATATATATATATATATGGTCACAAATATATATATACTGCTGGGCTCCTCGACATCCACCAGCAATTTGATGAACGACTCTCCCAAAGAAATGGGACCCTTGTTAATTCTGTGCTGGTGGCCCTTTGGAAGAGAGAATGGATCCAATGAGTAGTACGATGTGCCCCGGATTTTTTTTCCTTCTGTGCATTTTACGATTTTCAGAAGGGAGGGGCACATTTGGCTAGCACAGCCTGTCCTTTTTTATTATTTTTTAATCCGCACTTACGCCGCATCACTTGCGCGCGCATGTGTGCACGTGCGCTATGCGCCGCATGTGCACAACTTGCACGCACGTGATGCGCTGCATGTATGGGGTTTATTGTTTGTTCTGTTTTCAGGTTTTGCTTTTCGCCTTTACGGTCCTTGATCATGTGGTCTTGACTGTTGGTATGCTTTCAGGCGTATGCGGAGAGTGAGGCATTGCGTCTGAAGGATCAGTTGAGGAGACGTCAACAGGAAGCAGCGCAGAGATGGAGGCAGCTTCTGCGCTCCGTTGCCATTCGTCAACGACTGGAAAGTCGTTACGGCGGAAATGGGAACGAAGAGGAAGCGGTGCAGCGAGGGGGGCGCGAGGCAAAGGCAGAAAATATCGAACGGAGTGAGTTACAAGGGACCCGCAACGGCACAGAACATGAAGTTGTGGAAAAGACGGATGCTGCTGCTGGTGGTGGTAATGAACGGCAACGGACTGAAGAGGCTGCTGGCAGCATTCCAAGTGAACTACTCGAGACGATAGTGATCGGCATTGAAGACGAAAAAAGAGATCATCGGCGGAGCGTGGAAGTTGTCAGTGAGCTGACGGAGACGATAGAGACTGGCAAAGCGGCGACGGCGCTGGAGCCGATGCATGCTGGCAAAGTTTGCGGCGAGCCAAAATGGCAGCAGGAGTCAGCTGCAACTGGGGAGGCAGTTTTGGAACTGGTAGATGATGTGGTAGGAGAGAAGGAGAAGCGGAAGGTGCAAACAGGGGAGGAAAGTGTTTTGGGAGGAAGGGGAGACTCCAAGAAGGAGGATCAGCTGCAGGACATTAAAGTCGGCGCTCAGAAAAGGCAGTCGAGGTCATCTGTGCATAACGGAACAAGACCGAGAAAGCGGCAGCAGAAAGCGGCTGATGCCGATGATGAGCAGCACGAACACGTCTTTCTCGAGGAGAACGAGAGTTTCGACGATGAGACGGCGATCAAAACTCGGCGCTGCCTCTGCGGCTTTCAATACGAAGTCGAAGAAATCTGATCGTAAGATTCATTAACTGAACGCAGTTGAGGACGTCGGTGCGGAACGGAACAAGTCGGAGAAAGCAGTTGATTGCCGATGAAGAGCAGCGCGACAACATCTCTTCTTTCTCGAGGAGAATGAGAGTTTTGATGCCGAAGAGACTACGAGCAGAACTCGGGGCTGCGTCTGCACCTTTCAATACGAAGTCGCAGAAATCTGATCGTAAGATCCGGAATGCAATCTTTGCAGTTATATTCTACCAAAGACAATTGTCTGGACATCGTCAAAGGTTTGCAAGTTCCTTTCGAAAACGGGAAAAAAAAAGAAATTAAAATAAACGCAAGTTATTGCAACGATTCGAGTCTTCTTTTCTTTCCCTTCTTTTTTTCGCCCTTCTTCCCCTCCCCCCCTCAAATGCAAGGGAGTTTTGGTTACAGCCTTACAGGCTTTGTACTTGTCTCACTGTTGCTGGTTGTAGAAGCGTTGCGACCCGTTCAAACTTCACAGTAGACCGAATATAACTCGTTAAGTCTCTTTTTCGCTCTATGTCAACATGCTGCGTTCATGTTGCACCTCGCTTTGCTGCTTCCTCGTATAGCAATTTCTGTTTCCAGATACGGCAACGAGACCACCTCCTCTTGCCTATGCGGTCCTGTCGAGATAGATCTGTTTCCAGATCTATCTCAACAGATTCTTGGAAGGCGCCTTGTGGAAGCTTAGGACCCGTTGTCTTTAAATCCATCAAAAGAGACTCCAACGTTCAAACCCAAGGTTTCCTTAATTTGTGAAACGCCGTCTCCACAAGGGCGCCTTGGAAGAATCCACCAAAGAGCAAAGGTTTCTTGACAACTCGTGTTATGGTGTGTCTGTTCTTTGTAAAGCAACAGTTTGTTTCACTTTTCTAGTCTTTGGCTCTTAAAGGAGGCGAAGAGACGGCAATCGGCGACTTGTTATGGTGTGGTGTCTGTCTGTTCATTCAACTTCTTCGTAAAGCAAACAGTTTGTTTGCCTTTTATAGAGTCTTTGGCTCTTGAAGGAGGCGAAGAGTCGGTAATCGGTGCCACCG